AGGCTGAACAAGCAGGAGAAAGAGGGGGGTGTGGATAACACCTTCCCTTACTTTATCTCCATCGACTCGTCGACCTTCACGGTTACCTCACAACTCGCCAAGCAGCTTGACATGGCCACAGCAACACATGGCGACGGGAGTGAGTGAGTGTGTGTGTGTGTATGTGGCGTGTGTGGTATGTGTATGTGTGTGGTGGGTGTGGTGTTTTGTCATGTGACTTGCCTTAAGTCCTGTATCAGAGCATCTGTGATTGTGAGTCCACTTTGTGCGCTTGTGATAGTGTGTGTGTTGTGTGTTGTGTGTCGCAAGGTGGCTGCAATACACGTACACATGTACGCACACGTGTACGCACGCACATGTACGCACACATGTACACACACATACATGTACTTTCATGCACATACATGCACACACGCATGCACGCACGCATGCACCGCCACTGGCATGCAATGACTCACAAGCTCGTGTGTTCTTCTTGCTTTGCGTTTTTGCTGGGCCAGCCTCTGGCTTTGAAGACATCAGCACGGACGAATACGAGGGGTGGATCCAATACCAAATGATGGTGTGCATTCACAATTACTTCAATCGCAAGAAGCTGCACAGCCGCATGATGGTCATCGCCAACGCGCCTGTTTCGAACACGGAGCAGTACAAGATTGACGCTGCGTTTCGTCCGACCGTGTGCGAGCTGCACCACAGCTTTCTGCCTCTTATCATTGAGGTAATGATTGACGTGTGCACCTCTGACTTTTATTGCAATTGCTTGTGCACCAGCCACCACACGATACACACACACAAGCGCACACAGACGCGCAGACGCAAACACACACATGGGAAACACAAATCCTGCTTGCTCACTGCTGTGTCCACCTTGTGTGCATATTGTAGTTGGAGCAGCAGCGTACACAGCGAGCGGCAGCAAAGGAGCAATTGCGTGAATACGCATTGCACGCTATCAAGTGCGTTCCCCACTGGGAGTCTGTGATCAAGGGGCTGATGTACCCCATCGGCATCGCCGTCGCCGGGAACTGTGTTGACGTGTATGGTTTCGTCCTTGGACACAAGACGTTCGCTGGGGGCCAGAAGATGCCAGTCATCAACAGCATCACCCTGACATCCACCACGGTGCGCCTCTGCTAGCATATGGTGTTGTGTTTTTTTTTCCTGTTGTTGTGATGGCTTGCTCCTCTTGCCCCTGACATGCTGCTCTCCTCGTGCGCTGTGGTGTCCCTTTGCTCCGTCGGTGGCGGGCCACATGCTCTCACACACGCTCATGTGTCGCATATCTCCACACGCCTGCTCTCGTGCTTCCTGCTTTGTTGCGGTGTCAGCTGTCCAAGTTCTCCCGTGTGCTGGATGTGCTCTTGTCTGAGCCCCTGCTGGCCTACTACGACTCGCTCTACGCTCGATGCTTTGGAGCCCCTGCCACCACCTCTCCGCCACCGCCGCCATCTCCCCAGTGCGATATCCCACCTGCTCTTGTTGAGCGCATTCGCTTGAGCGGCGATTGCCCCGAGGAACCACAGCAGCCACAGCACCATCAGCAGCACCACCACCACCAGCAGTCACAGCAGCTACAGCAGCAGCAGCAGCAGAAAGACGAGGTCATCTTGGCCAACATGCGCGTGTTCTTCGAGTTTGAAGACATCAATGCAGACGTAAAGATTATTGACGACACTGTGGTGAAGCGTGTGCCTGACGACCAGAACATCGACCATATTCTTCTCATGTGGCGCATCCTGCACCCACGTCACCCGATTCGCGTCATCAACAGCAACACCATCGTCATGCCCTTCCTCGGCAGCGGCAAGTTCACCACGCCAGAGCAGCTGTTGTGTGTGGCAGAGCAGCTCCTGCGGTTGTGTTTCCACTCACTTCCCCACGCCGACGTCAGGAGAGAAAACATCGCGGTGAAGGATGCGACTGCAGCCTTCATCGTCGATGTGGAGAATTTTGGAACGCACACGCCGGACGGGTTCAACTGTTGTCTGCTGGAACGGCATCCTGACTTGTTTTGTCGCTCGGGCGAGGACCGGCTGCCGTTCAAAAGCATCCACGACTTTTACTCACTGGCCATGGCATGGGCTCGCCCCGATTTTGGCGAGAGGTTTGATGTCCGGAGCACGTGCGATCGGTTTGAGGATGCGTGCCGGCGACTTGTTGAATGGCTGCAGCAGAAGAAGCGTGACATGGCGCATAAGGGCGGTGGAAACGCTGATGACGGTGACCACGGACATGATGATGATGAGGAGGAAGGCTGTGAGGTGGACGTGAAGAAGAAGCTGAAGATCCTCAACAAGCTCATCGAAGGAATGCAGAACGCTACCATTCTTTGACTTGTGTTGGTGCAGCCACCCTTGTCTTCTTTGATGGCGGTGGCGGTAACAGGGGATGATGATGACGGTGGTGGTGGTTGAGGTGGTGAAATTGCTGTGTCTGGTGCTTTGTCTGCTGTTGCTTTTGCTAATTTGCTTGTTGTGGTGGGCCAGGCCTCCTTGTGATACTTGTTGTGCGTGCTATGATGGTGTGACTTCCATGAAGCTAAATATGGTATGCGTCTATCCCGTGCATAAAAGAGTGACGTGACATCTGACATGACATGACGTGACACGCCATGACTTCCTTGATCGAAAAGTCTGGATCCTGTGCAGTGTGTTTGGAGATGAAAGACACATTGGTGCCGAAAGGGGGTGAGATGTTTGGAATGGGCGACTTGTGGTGGACTTGCACGAGTGGTGTGAACTCATGTCACAGGTGCGGAGTGGGGGCAGGCGTGTGTGGTCGCGCTTGCCGCGTGTGTGCGGTTTGTGTTGTTTATGTCGGTTCTCAAGACGGGCACGGACAAGCAAATGAAGGAAGCAAAACGGCGGGCTCATGAAGCACACTTAAGATCGGTGAAACGAAAAAGAAGACAGTCATCATCCACTCACTCATGCACATGAAGCAACCAAGCCATCAAATCAAGCCACCAAGCAAGCCACCAAGCAAGCAATCAGCCATCAATTACCACTCGAGCAAGCAATATATGGCACCATCACCAAATCATGAGCACATCGTGCCACCATGCCATCTTCGTCACGCCGTCCACCGCGGTTGCCGCCCTTATCAGGAGAAGAGGCCACTGCACCACTGGCGCCCAAAGGTGAAGCAGATGCACACGCCGAGGATCAGGCCTGCAAGAGACGGGTCCACGCCACTTCCCTGGACAGCCAGGTCGCTTGCCTTGACAAACCCGTCAAGCACGCGCTGGGCTTTCGCGCGACGTCGACGCCGCTCTGCCTGCGCGCATGCAACGGAGGAGAACAGGTGCCGCAGCATATTGGAGTGAGGGAGTGAGTGGTTGAGTGTGGGCGTGATGTTACATGCGCGATTGGCGCTCTGAGTAAAGGGGTATAGCTGCGAGGTACACGTACAACGGCAGCACACAACACACAAGCACGCCAGCAACCAACACGCGCACGTACGCACACGCACACAAGCATGCACACACACGCACACAAGCATGCGCACACACACACGCACACAAGCATGCACCACACACATACACACACACACACACACAAGCACTCATGCTCACCTCCTCCACTTCCTCGGCGATGGGCTGGCCGTTGCAGTTGTAGCAGACGGGTCCGTTCAACTCGGCCTCCTCGTCACTGCAAGCAAGAGAAACACAGTGCCCCACACCATCACACAGCACACCCATGAGCGTTCATCTACGCAAGTCGTTACATCAGCAACTGCACACACATATGCACGTCAATCACACACACACACACATACGCACACACACTACAAACGCAATCACACACACACACACGCACACGCACAATATTGAACTATAGAATCACACAATCACACAGCCGAGTGCATGTTCACTTACGATGAGATGGTGCTGCTTGCACCACCATCACCGCCATTGCCACCAACGGCGTCACCGTCGCCGTCGTCGTCATCACCACTCGCCCACGCCTGCAAGAGCACAGGGCTGCCATTCTCGTCGCTGCTTTTGTCAGCATCATAACGGCCAACGCCGCCACCTTGGTCGAGCGACCACTGAGGCAGGTCGCCCCACTCCACCATGCCCTCCTGTGAACGCGTGCTGCTGCTGCTGCTGCTGCTGCTGCTGCTGTGCTGCAACCTCCGTCACTGATGGCGGTGGTGCAGCCATGTAGTCTGTGGGCAGCGCAAACCAGCGCAGCTTCTGCATGCTCCTGCTCAGCACGACCTTCTGCGGGGGATTGGCGGGAAAACGCGGGAGTGGCTGGCGCGGCGCGAGTTGCTCCGGCGTGAGTGAGACGGGCAGCCTGGCGTTTGGAGCACGCACACTTCAAAGTCACATCACGCACACATTCTTCTTCCGTCTGTGTCATTTCATAGCAAACACGCACTTGAGGTACGCTTGGTCCAGGCATGTACACACGCGCGCACACTGTGTTCTCTCAACTACAGCTGACGGAAGCAGCGAAGAAGAAGCACATGTCAAAATAAAAGGATGCGTTGCGCACAACAAGAAGATAGGAGGAGAGCAGGTCATGCCACTCGACAAACTAGATGTGCACATTCGCTGTACACAGAGAGAGGCAAACACGGACACAGACACAGACACAGACACAGACACACACACACACACACAACCACACACACAGACACAAACAAGCAGACAAACAAACAAACAACACACATAGATCCGCCATCAGAGGTCACTGGAGGCGAGCCTGCGCAGGCCAAAGGTGATGGATGTGGTGCCCGTGTCTTGTAAAGCGGCAACAATCGCCTGCACAGCATCCTTGTGCGTCAACCCGGCAAGCGAGCGGCCGTTCACAAGACACACCTCATCCCCAACTTGCACCTCCTCATCGCCAAGCTCAGCAAAAGCGCCACCAGCCGTCATCTTGTGCACCAGCACACGTCCGCCCGTCTTGGCCACATCACACCCGCCAGCAACAACCAGCCCCAGCGGCTTACTCCCTTTGGCAACCGTCAGCATGCGCATATCACACTCGCCATCGCCGTGCTGTGCATGCGCAAGATCGTCAACACTGCGAGGCGCGCCACCACTCAAGCCCGCCTGAGCACCCGTGCGCTCAGTCGCATCCCTGGTTGCACCACCCAGCGTACCCCCATGTCCCTGTTCTTCTTCGCCCTCCACCACCTCGTCCTCCTCGGTAATGGTTGGTGCCTGGCTCGCCCACTCCTGCGCAATGGCGATGGTGCGGTCCAGAAACGACAGCGACGACGACGCAGAGGTTGTGCTCAGTGCTGCCGCCGACGGACACAACGAAGCAAAACGAGAGCAGGTGCGTGAAAGGTGAGGAATACGAGTGTGTGTGTGTGTTTGTGCTTCGGGTAGATGTGCAAGACGAAGAAGCCTCAAACAAACCAGAGAAGGAACACAAACCCGCACACAAGCACTCACACACACACATGCACACACACACGCACACCCACCCACCCACCCCCCCCCCACCCACACACAAGCATTCACACACACATGCACATGCAAAGCACACACACACACACACACACACACACACACACACACACACACACACACACACACACACACACACACACGCACCTCGTGACGATCGGTCGAAAGTTGGCTTGTTGCGCCGCAACACGACAGAGTCATCAAACGCATCAGCATTGCCCGACATTCTACTCGCTGCTGTTGTTGTTGCTGGCGGCGGCGGGCTGTCAAAGCCGTAAAAGCTCTCACGCTGCTGCTGCAAGAACGAGCGGCGTGCCTCCTCTGCCCTCGCCTCCACATCAACCGCACCGCTGTTGGTGTTGTTGTTGTTGTTGGTGGCGCTGCTGTTGTTGTTGGTGGCGCTGCTGTTGGTGTTGGTGTTGCACCCATCGTGACCAGCACCGCTGGCATGACTGTTGATGCTGCTGTTGTGATTGGAGTTGTTGGCACGATGGTTCGCAGGGTCATTGGCGGTGACTGCAGGGTGGTTGCCACCCGCACCATCACCACCACCACCACCACGGTCACCAACACCTGTACCAGCAGCCCGTCCCTGTGCGTTGGCGTCGGGGATCGTGACGGGCCCGGCGGCAAGTTCTGTCTCGTCGTGGTAGCGGTGCCATGAGCTTGGCGCCGTGTACGACCGCGGCCGCCCCGCTCTCACATCATCACCATCACCATCACCATTACCACCATGGCCAATACCGCCATTGCGCAGCGTGTTAATGGCATCCACGTTGGTTTCGCGTCCAAGCGAGAGCAGGTGCTGTGCCATGAGCGCCTGGTGCGGCCGCGCATGTGTCTGTCCGTCAACCCCTCCGCGAAGGGACTTGTTTGACCACTCACCACCACCGCCGCCACTGCCGCCACGGTGAATGCCATTGCTGACACCACCTCTTCCTCGCCCCTCTTCATAGCCGTCCACACGAGCCAAGTTGCCGTTGTTGCCGTGGGGCGCGCGCGAGTGCAGTGGTGGCGAGGCCGTCACGCCCGTGCAGGAGAGCGCTGTCGTGCGGCTGGGGCTGCTGCTGGACGTCCGCGTCACAATTCGAGACGCGGACGATGATGAGGATGTTGACGTGGTTGTTGTGCCACCACGGACCATCGCCCGCAGCGACTGCCCAATGCTGTTGCTGCTGTTCTTGTTGCCATTGTTCTCAACAGCGATCCACTCTGTTGTGTCCATGACATATCGGTGCCTGATAGTTGCGCGATGGAGTTTACAACAACATCGGCGTTGCACCACGGGTAAGTGTACACGTACGTTTCATGCGCAGTGCGTGTGTCATGTGCGTGCATGTATGCGTGCGTGTATGTATGTGTGAGTGTGTGTGTATGTGTGTGTGTGTGTGCGTGGACGAGATGCAAACTTGTGCGTCAACAAGCGGCATGCCCACCAATAAAATCATCTCCCCTTGAACCTTCCACGCGAAAACAAGCAAGCAACAACGAGAGCAGGGCGTGACTACACCAGGTCACAACGCAACCAAACATCAGCACATCAGCACATGAGCGCATGTCATTGTGAATGGTTGCAACGACACTTGCGCAGCCCAGCGCGTCTCTCACCTGGGCACGTATTTGCCGGGTTTGATTGTCATGAACAGGTGCTCGCTCCCCGTGAGGATTTTCACGGCCTCCGCGTGTGTCAGCAGGTCAAAGTCGACACCATTCACATCGCACAGCTGGTCACCGGGCTGTATGCGCATGTGCATTTGTGCATAGTATGTGCATGTGTTTTTGCGCAAACCTATGAGACTCAGATGAAGAGCGCGCACGTACGCGTAATGTGTGTGTGTGTGTGTGTTCTATCACGCACACGCACACGCACACGCACACGCACACGCACACGCACACGCACACGCACACACGCACGCACACACACACACACACAGAGGTATGGAAGCGTGCAGCTTGCCACAGCAACTCTGCACCACCAGGCAATGCACCCCACCCCCCTCTGCAGACCTTGAGGTTGTGCTGCGCCGCGATGCCGTCCACATCAACGGCGGAGATGTAAATCCCAACACCCTGGTCGTGCCCGCCACAGATGCTGCCCACCACCATCACACGCACGCATGTGCATGTGTGTGAGACGTGTGAGTTGTGTGAGATGTGTGCACACGCGTGCATGTGCATGGCAACATCAGCGCACAAGTCACATTACGCGTTCGTGTACGTGTGCGTGAGCGTGTGTACGTGTGTGTGTGTGTACATGTGTGTCCATGTATTGGCTCACCTCATGCCAATGCCTTTGGGCCCGACTTGGAAGTTGACGCGACGAAGTTCAATATCACCAAGATCGTCTGCACGTTAGCAAGCGTGGCGCAGAGACGTGAACATGAATGTACACGTAAACGCAAATGGTGTGATATGAGGTGTGTGGTGTGAGTGGCGCATGCAACCAATGGACAGTAAGTTCAACCAAACACACACACACGCACGCACACACACCACCACGACCAAATACCGAAACAGCGCTAACTCTCCTCTCTCTATCTCTACGTGTCTGCATTGTGTGACCTGTTGGTCCATGCACGGTGCCGGGCACGGGGCCGGTGGCGACCTTGTCTGAAGAGCAGCCGCACACACACCAGCAGACAGAGTAACGCGTGAGCAGTGGGTGTGTTTGTGCTTGCGTGTGTGGTTGCTTTTTGTGCGTGTGTGTTTGTGTTTGTGTACGCGTACGAATGCGTGCGTATGTGCGTGATGTGACACAAGCTGCCCTTGGAACTTCAGCCAGACGCTGAAGCAGTACTCACACCCACGCACACACACACACACACACACACACACACACACACACGCAGACACACAGAGTCGCACACGCCTGCGGCCTGGAGCCACTCGAACGACTCCTGAACGTTGACTTTATCAGGAACGCGGCCCGTGCTGATGACGACGAGCTTCAGCTTCTTCGTTCCCGTGAACAGCTGCACCGCCTCCTTGTGCTTCAACTAATGGGTGAGAGCGTGAGTGAGTGAGGGCGTGAGTGAGGGCGTGAGTGAGTGAGGGCGTGAGTGAGGGCGTAACTGCGTGCTTGTGATGTTGAAGTGGCAGGCAAGAATAATGTGTTTGCTTCACGTCGCTATCTCGATGGCGCATACTCACCCCTTGCACAGCTGTTCCGTTGACAGAGACAATCTCATCGCCGATGCGCACGCCCGCCCGCGCTGCCGGTCCGCCATTGTCAACCTGTGCAGCAACAACGGAAGGAGGGGGTGGGGATGAGGGCATGGGGCGTTACTTCAAGTCGGCAGGTACACACACACATACACACACACACACACACACACACACACACACACACACACACACAACACAACACAACACACACACACACACACACACACACACACACCGTAGCCCCACCCAACTTCGTCAGTGTATGCGTGCAGGCACGCACCTTGCTGACGTAGAGGCCGACGCCAAACTCAGCCCCGCCGCGCATGTTGAAGCCCAGCGTACCGTATTTGTCACGCTGCACCTTGACGCGTCGCGGCTTTGGGGCTCCGTTTGTTCCCCTGCTGCTCGTGCTGAGCGAGAGCAGGCGTCGCATGGTGGATGTGTGCTTGCTGCGGCTGCTGGCGCTGCTGTCTAGCGTGTACGACCGCCCACGCGACACCGTGCTGTCGCTGCTGATGCTGGTGCCAAGGCTGCCCAGCGTGCTCGTGCGGTCGCTCGCTGTCGTGCTGGTGCTCCCTCGTGCACCCCGCTGGTGGCGGCGGCGACGACCGAGAGACAGCGAGAACCCGCGGCGACGTGGGCTGCCGCTACCGGCGCCGTTGTCTGCGCAATCGTGGGTGTGGACGCGGCTGCTCTGGCTGGTGGTTGGTCGAATGGCGCCCAGCATACCGCCCACACCGCGGCTTGCCTTGAGCCGCTGCGCGAGGTGCCGCTTGAGGGTGGACTGCAGACGCACGCCGTCGCGTGCTGGGATCAGGTCCAGCAGCGGCGGAATCACCTGCGCCCGCAGCTCTCGCGTTGGCAGCACATCAAGCGTCACCTCCGCAAGCTTGTCAAACGATCTACATGACGTGTGTGTTGTTGCGTGTGTGTGTGTGGACGTGTGCGTGTGTGTGTGTGTGTGTTTGTGTGTGTGTGTGTGTGTGTGTTCGTGTGTGTGTGTGTGCGTGCGTCGACGTGTGTGGTGTGAGCTGGTACAGTATTGGGCATGCGGGATCCAACCATGACTGACATGCCGGCAGGCGTCCACACTGTCCTCACACGCACAAAAGCACATCATTCCACAACCCACACCTCTACACCCACAAACAAACAAATACACACACACACACACAAGCATAAGCATTCATACACACATGCACACACACATTCACATTCACATTCATTCACACACATGCACGTGCACAAGCATTCGCACGTGCCGACCTGAGTCTCAGGAAGGCTTGAAGGGCCTCGAGGAGTTGTTGATGTTGATCTGGGTGGATACATTGTTGGCAGGCCATATGGAAGGCGTACACGGCCTCCTGCCTGTGCCTGCTGGGCGATGGTGGCATGTTCCCTGCCACAACCTTTCACAGCGCTTGGTCCTCACTCGCTCGCTTGCTCGCTGCCCTGACAACGGCAACACCAGGCGATGATGAACAAGTGAGACCGAGCGCGAAGGTGGTGGCTGGTATTTGTGATGGAGTTGAGAAGGGTGCCGGGATCCCTCTTTCGTGTGTGTGTGTGTGTGTGTGTGTGGTGATCGTTGTTAACCTGGCGTTGGAAACGTCGGTCGTATGGGGTGGCAGCGATCTTGTGCAAACAAACCAAAGAGGGAGAGAGCACCGAAATACAGCGGCAACCAGCCAAAAAAGCAACCACAATTCAAACAACCAACCATGAAATGCAACAATGCCAAAGGCAGCCTTCTTGCTTGCTTGTCCTTCTTGCTTGCGTGCCTTGCTGCCTTCTTGCTGACCACCACCCTGGCTGCCTTCGCACTTGTCCTTCCTCAGCCACACCCACACACATACGCGCACACGCCAAAACGGGCGTTGTTGGCGTGTTTTGGGTCTGTTTGTTTGTTTGGGGGGTTCGTGCCACACACACAATACACACACGCACGACTGTCAGTTTTTCGCGGACGGCTGGTACGGAGAATTGGTTGGAAATACGCCCAAATTTCTCATCCCGCCCAACACCCGCAACGGACGGCGAGCGAGGAGAGGTTGGTGGTTGTGTCTGCTTCGCCTTGCTTCTTGCTTGTTGCTGTCAGTGGTGAGGTGAGGTGAGGTCGTGAGCATGTGTTTGTACTGTGTTTGTGCTGTGTTTGTGTTTGTGTTGTGCTGTGTGTGTGTGTGTGCCGTGACACGGCAGTGAGTGCTCGCTTGCATCCTTTATGTCCTCGTTTTTTTGTTTTTTTTTTGGTTGTTGTTTTGTTTTGCAGTGGGTTGGTTGTCCGAGCTCACATCATGTGATCTTGTTTCTCTCTCTCGCTCACTCACATAGGACAAGGACAACGGATAGGCATCATGGATGGGGCAGAGCGCGCCGCAGAGGGCGCAGCGCTGCTGAAGAAACTGGCCAGGAAGCGCAACAAGAAGGCCGCAAAGAAGAAGTCCAAGCCAAAGCAAGACAAGCCACCACAGCCACAAGAGCAGCAAGAACCACAGCCACACGAGCAGCAAGAACCTCAATCACAGTCACAAGAGCAACAAGAACCACAGTCACAAGAGCAGCATGAACCACAACCACAGTCACAACACCAGCTCGAGCCACAACCACAACAACCCCACCAGAGTGAGCCACAACTTCCCTACCAGGCCCCAGCAGTTTCTGCGACAGCAAACGATTTCGTGGACAATACTGCTGCCGCTCCTCATGACATTGGGCACGGCCAGCACAACGAGGACAACGGCACGCTTGCCACAGATTCCAGCGATCACACAGCGCCTCAGTCCGCCCCATATGATCAGCAAGAAGGGCAGGATGAGCTCATGTCGTCTCAGCCACTAGACTCCAGCGATCTCACAGCGCTGCTCACGGGGCTTGAGTCTGCGGGAAGCGACGTGCATGACGCGGTACTGGCTGCAGAGCAGCAGGTCACCCAACAGCGTGAACAGATTGACAGACTCAACCAGAACTTGGATGAGCTGAGGAATGAGAACGCCCAGCTGCGCCAGCAGCTTGCCGATGCCGCCAGCACTACAGTCACAAGCGAGCAGCAGCAACAGCAGCGCGTGCATGTGCTGGAGCAAGAAGTGGGCACACTGCAACACAACCTGCACAGTGCACAGGCCGAGCTGGCCGAGGCGCAGAGGGAGGTGGCGGAGCGCGAAAGTGGACGCCTGGAAGCGATTACGCTCCAGCGCGAGCAGCGAGGGGAGATTGAGAGGCTGCAGCAAGAGCTGTCTGAGCTGCGGACAACGCGGACGAAGCGAGAGGAAGACATTGAGCGGGAGCGCTCGGAGCTGCTGGTCAAGGTGGAGGAGTTGCAGGCGCAGAGCGGAGATGTGGAGGCACGGCAGCGAGAGGAGATTGAGAGGCTGCAGCAAGAGCTGTCTGAGCTGCGGACAACGCGGACGAAGCGAGAGGAAGACATTGAGCGGGAGCGCTCGGAGCTGCTGGTCAAGGTGGAGGAGTTGCAGGCGCAGCTGGCATCAGCGGGCGACCTAAACGAGACTGTCCTGCGGCTGACGGGCGAGCGCGATGAAGCCATGTCACGGGCGCGGGAACAAGAGCAGCAGCTGGCTGACCGCGAACAGCAGCTCACACACGCGCAGAAGCAGTTGGCGGACCTGCAGCAGCAGGTGGACACGCTTGCCACTTCGTCCAGCGAGGACGTTGCCCAGTGGCAGGAACGCGTGCAGCAAGAGGAGAGCGAGCACGCCGAAACAAAGCAGCAGCTTGCGCAGGAGCAGCAGCGCGCGCACGACCTCCAGCAGCAGCTGCAGCGCCTGCAATCGTCGCAGCGCGCCGTTGACGAGGGCATGGCGGGCCTGCAGTCGCTCGAGCAGGACATACAGCGGCGCGAGAAGGACGTGCAAGCGCGCGAAGAGAGGCTTGCCTCAGACGAGGAGGCGTTGCGCACGCGCCAGTCACAGCTGAGCGAGCAGGAGCACGCACTCACGCAGCAGCAGCAAGAGCACAGCGAGCAGCGGCGCGCGTTTGAGGAGGAGATGCACCAGGCGCGGGCACACGTGCACGAATTGGAGGAGAGCGTGAAGGCGCGCGAGCGTGCGGTGGAGATGAAGGAGGCTGCTGCTGCTCAGGATGATGAACACGCCAACGCGCAGCTGGCCGACCTGCAGGAGAAGTGTGCACGTGCACAGCAGGAGAAGGAGGAGGTTGAGGAGCGGATGTCCCAGCTGGAGACAAGCCTGCAGCACCAGGTGGTGTCGCTACAGCAGCAGAACAAGGACCAGCAGCAGCGCCTGTCGCAGAGCAGCGAAGAGCACGCACAGGACAAGCTTGCGCTGAAGCAGCTGCGGGAAGAGCTGAACATGGCCAAGGCAGAGCTGGCCGCGGCGCAGGCGCAGGTGCAGGCGCAGTTGGAGGAGCAGGACGCCGACCTCGCACACAGGGCAAAGGAGGTGGAGGAGATGCGCGCAGAGCTTGAGCGGCAGCAGCAGCTGCTCGACGCCGCAAGCGCCAAGGTTGCACAGCGGGAGAAGGAGGCCGAGGAGGAGTGGCGGTCGCTGGGGGAGCAGCAGCACCAGGTGGAGCAGGCCAAGCGAGAGGCAGCCGTCGCCGCAAGCAGGCTGCAGGAGAGGGAAGAGCAGCTGCACGCAAGCGAGCGCACACTTGATGAGATGCGTGCGACGCTGCAGTCGACGGAACAGGCGCTGAGCGCACAGCAGGACGAGCTGGACCAGCGCGAGGAGAGCCTGAAGGAATACGAGGCCAAGATGCGGCAGTCGTGGGCGGAAGCAAACGCCAGTTTGGAGGAGGACCGGGAGGACCTGGACCGCAGGCGCAAGGAGTTGAGCGAAGCACGTGAGTCGCAGCAGCAGCGTGAGGGCGAGCTGTTGCGCCGCCGCTCCGAGCTCGACGACACGGCGGAGAAGCAGCAGCAGCTGGAGATGCAGCTTGCCAGCGAGGTTGAGCGCGTCGAGTCCCTCAAGGCGCAGCTGCAGCAGCAAGAGGAACAGCTGCAGCTGCAGCAGCGCGACGTGCAGGAGGCGCGGGAGGCGCTTGATGCCGACCAGGCTGAACTGGCCAAGGAGAAGGAGCAGGTCCGCAGCCGCGTGGAGACGGCAGAGCGCCGCTGGCAGGACGTGGAGGAGCGGCAGCAGACGCTGGCCGACGCTGAGAAGGCGATGGAGAAGCAGGCGCGGGACGCAGACGAGCGCGCAGCCAACCTCAATGCCCGGCAGCAAGAGCTTGAGGCCGCCATGGAGGAGGTGACGAAGCAGCGGCAGGAGCTGGCGCGGCTGCACGAGGCGGCTGAGGCAGACGTCAGTGCCGTGCAGCGGGAACTGCAGCAGGAACGCACGCGCCTGCGCCAGCTGTCAGAGGAGCTGGACGCCAGGGAGAAGGAACTCGCCGCAGCGCGGGAAGCACATGCGAGCGAAGCAGAGGAGCTTGCACACAAGCAGCGCAAGCTGGCAGACAGGCAGCAGCACCTGCACGCGCGGGAAGCGCAGCTGGTCACGCACGAGAACGAGGCGGCGAGGCGGCAGCACTTGCTGGAGAAGGGCGAGCGGCAGCTGAAGGACAAGTGGGATGACCTGGACGCGCGCACACGCGAGCTGCAGGAAAACCACGAGATGTTCATGAACGACATGACCGTGCGTGAGCACCGCACGCGCGTGGCGCGAAGCGAGCTGGCGAACCAGCAGCGCGCACTCGCGGCGCAGCAGCAAGAGCTGGAGCGTTCACGTGCACAGCTGAAGCAGGATGCCGAGAAGCAGCGAGCGCGGGCAAGCGCACAGCAGCACGACCTCGACGCCCGGTTTGAGGAGCTGGAGCACCAGCGCACAGCCCTGGCACGGCAGCGGCTGCAGGCGGAGCAGCTTGCCGCAGAGAACCACGAACGGCAGATGCAGCTACAGCAGCTGGAGAAGGACCAAGCCAAGATGGACGAGAGCCTGGCTGCGCGCGAGAAGGACGTGGAGGCGCGGGAGGAGCGCATGCGCGAGCAGTCCTCTCGGCTGTCCTCCCAGTCCACAGTGCTGAACGAGCTGCGGCAGCGGCTGGACGAGGAAGAGCGGGCGCTGCAGGAGCGCACGGACGCGTTTGCAAAGGAACAGCAGGAGGCGCGCGACGCCCTCAGCGCAAAGGAGGAACAGCTCAACGCACAGAGCCAGTCCCTGAGCGATGCGCGGGCGCAGGTGGAGAAGCAGCAGCATGCCGTGCGCCAGCAGGCCGCCAAGCTGGTGGAGGACCAGGAGAAGGTGAAGGCGCGGCACAAGGAGGCAGACGAGCGGAGCGCCATGCTTGAGCAGCGGGAGCAGCGCGCGAAGCAGCAGCACGACGCGCGCACGCGCAAGCTCAACGAGCGGGTGACGCAGATTGAGGAGCTTGAGGCGCGGTTACTCGTGCGCACGAAGGAGCTTGAGAAGGCGCAGGCGTACTTTGAGCGGCTGAAGCAGGACCAGGAGCAGCACCTGCGGCAGCAGAAGCGGGCCCTGGAGACACGCGAACGCACCATTGAGGAGAAGCTCAACCACCTGCGCTCGCAGGAGGACCTGTTGCGTAAGCTCGAGGAGCGTGCACAGGCCAAGTTTGCCGGCATGACGCAAGAGCGCGCGGCGCTGGCGGACAGCTGGGGGCGGGAACGGCACGAGCTGCACCAGCTCAAGGAGGAGCTGATTGCATACGAGCAGCGGCTGGAGGCGAGGGAGACGTCGCTGCGTGATCGACAGGAGCAGCAGCGCAAGGAACTGGAGGAGATTGGCAAGCAGCGTGCCGCCGCCAGGGTGGAGCGCACGCAGCTTGAGGAAGCCCGCATAGCACTGCAGCAATCGCAGGACACACAGCAGGAGCGGCAGGAGCTGGAACAGCTGATGCAAGAGGTGACGCAGCAAATCTCCGAGCTGGACACGCAGAAGAAAGAGATGGACAGGCACCACCTGAACATGAAGCGGGCGCTGCTGGTGCTGTCTGAGGCCTTCCCTGACACACGCCTCTCCGACCGCCAGGTTGACGAAGTGACGATTGAAGAGGCGCTGGCGCTTGTTCGCGAGCGCGTAGCTGTGTTGAAGGAGCAGAAGCAGGACGAACAGGCCCGCGCAACGCGGCTGCAGCAGGACGTGCGCACGCTTCAGCAACAGCACAGCAAGAGCAGCAGCATGGGCAGCAGCCGGCGCAGTGATGACGCGGGTGCCAGCAGGCGTGGCGGCACCGCGTCTGATGCTGATGCTGAGGCCGTCCGCCGTGCACTTGAGGAACGGGATCACGCGTTGAAAGAAGCGCAACATCTCCGGCAACGGCTGCAGGAACACGTCAACAACAGCGGCGAGGCGCACCAGGTAGCATGTTGTCGCCACGTTGTCTTGCGTTTGCATGTATGTGTGTGCATGTATTCGTGCATGCGTTCGTGCGTTCGTGCGTTCGTGCGTTTGCTTAACGTGTGCCGCGGTTCATTGTACACCCTGTAAGTGTGTGCATGTGTGCGTGCGTGCATGTGTAACGGTGTTGTTTAAGTTGTTGTTGTTTAAGTTGTTGTTGTTTATTAAGTTGTTGTTGTTTATTAAGTTGTTTAAGTTGTTGTTGTTTAAGTTGTTGTTGTTTAAGTTGTTGTTGTTGTTGTTGTTGTTGTTGTTGTTGTTGTTGTTGTTGTTGTTGTTGTTGTTGATGATGATGATGATGATGATGATGATGATGATGCATGGATGCAAATGCTTGTTGTGCTTCACCACACATCTACCACGCACTGCATGCATGCGTGCACACATGCACACACTCACACGCAACTTCATCACGGCTGCGCGTGCTTAGGGAGAGGCGGCCCTACTGCAGCGAATGCTGAACAGCGAAACGCAGGAGCTGCGCGCTGTTAAGGCGCAGCACGTCAAGGCAGAGACGCGCGCAAAGTCGCTTGAGCAGCAGGTCACGCGCCTGGAGCACGAACTCACGCGTGTGAGGGAGCAGCAGCAGAAACAACAGCAGCAACTGCAACAGCAGCAGGGCGCAGCGAACACGCGCGATCACCAGCAGGGTGACCACCAACATCATCACCACCACCACGCGGGCGATGAGAAGCATGCGCACAAGCTGCGGGAGCTTGAAGAGACGCTTGACGCTGCGTTTGAGGAGCGTGACCAGACGAATCAGCGGATTGAGGTGCTCCACAGCCGTCTGCAGGAGCTTACAGCACGCCACGAGAAGGAGGTCGCCCGCCTCAAGGCTGAGAAACAGGTGCGCGCTCTTGCGTATATGAGGTTGTGCGTGTGTGTGCGTGTGCCTCTGTGTGTGTGTGTGTGTGTGCAGACGACTCGCGTTTGCCCCTCCCCTCTCATTGTGATGTCACACACCTCCAGCCCTCGCTTTGTTCGCGTTCATGTACGTGTATGCGTTGCATGCGTGTGTGCTTTGCTAAGTACATCTCGCCGCTGACTCCAAAACAACGCTTTCTGTCCTCGTTTCCAACCCAACACACACACACACACACACACACACACACACACACACACACACACAATTCGCTTTCGCTTGCAGGACCTGGAGGAAGAAGTCAAGGCGCTGAGCAACAGCGGCAGCAGCAGACGCGCACGTAGAGGACACGGGCACGATGACGACGGCGGCGACAACGATGGTGGTGACCGCGAGCAAGAAGAGGCTGTGCGTCGCTTGTCCACGCACGCAATCACGCTTGAAACGCAGTTGCGCGAGGCGATGGACGAGCGGGAAGAGCTTGGGCGGCAGTTGTCGAGCCAGCAGGCCGAGAACGAAACGCTGCGCGAAAAGTACGACCACCTGCAAGACCGCTACCGGGCAATGGAGGACACCTGTCGCGATTTGTTGCGTGAGCGCGTGGACTCGCAGTCCGCTGCCATCAGCAGCACCCGCGGTAATGGTGGTAACAATAGAGGCTTTGGTGCAAGTGGCTCGCGCTCGCGCCACCAACCCCAGCACCGCCATCTCCTTGACCGGAGCGAGGGGCGTGACAGCTTCGGCAGCCCGCAGAGCCACGACAGCCGTGATGGTGGAAGGGTGAGTGGCGACGAGGATGAGGATGACCAAGCGGTCGACGCAACGACGCGCGGATATCGCCACGCACGCGACGCCGACGTGCGCCACCTGCACACGCAGGCCAGGGCCAGTGGTGGTGGTGGTGGTGGTGTGTCGCACAGCGAGCGCAGCATGGCGAGCGAAGAGCACCAGCTCCTGCGAGGGATTGACAGCGGACTGCTTGACCCAACCCTCAAGGCGCTGCTCAGCTACCGCCGCCCCAACACCACGGCCAAGCAGGCTGCAGCCACGAATGGCGCAGGCGACCTCTACTCATCAACGCCGGGCAGACAGCCATACGCGCACATGCAAACGTACCCGCCAGTGCGTGGCAGTGGCAGTGGCAGCCATGGTCATGGTGATGGCGATGGCGATGATGGTGAGGGCAGCGATGTCCGTCTTGAGCGTCACGGCGCGGCGCTGGCGGCACTCGAGCGAATGCGCTCGCTCACCAGCACGGATGCCTCTGCCACAACACGGACGACGGACGTTGTGACACAAAGCAGTGTGACGTCGCTTCGATGGCAAACGAGCGGTGGTGGGCGGCAGAGCCCCTTCCAGCCGTTCAAGAGCCCAACAGCTCGCTATGGTGATGATGATGATGTTGATGATGATGGTGACGATGATGTTGATGATGGTGACATCAGCCGCCAGCATCAGCTGCTTCGGCAGAACGCTGCAGCCAGGAGTAGCGGTGGCGACAGAAGCGGCGTGGCAGGCCAGGACCACGCACCGTCATCGTCATCAGCGCCAACTGCAACAGCAGCAGCAGCAACCAGCACATCGGGCATCTACGGGTTTGGCAGAGGCGACAGCGGCGACGCATCTGCGCTGTACAGCGACCAGCACCAGCACACCATTCGCGGCACGGCTGAGCTCCTGGACGATCGCTCGTGGGCGCGAAGGAGTGGGGACAATGAGGGCTTCAGTGCTGGCCGCGATGTGTACGACACGTCACCTACCGCGTCATCGGTGCAGTCGTATCACACTGCCGTCTCCCACGCCAACGACTCGCCATCAGAGCTGGACGCCTCTGGCCAGTTTGCCCGACGCAGCAGCGGCAACATCCGCTTTGCCGATGGCGATGGTGATGGTGATGGTGATGGTGATGGCGATGGTGTTGGCAGGTATCGTGGGTCTTGGCGCGGTGGAGGTGGTGATGAGCAAGAGGAGCCGTTGTACTCCTCTGGCGGGCGATCGCATCGCAGCCACCGCAGTGCCTATGGTGGTCACAGTCATGGTGATGGTGATGGTGAAGGGGATGATGGTGATGGTGAGTTTGGGGACGCTGCCAACACAACGTTGACAGCAACGAATGCTGGACGCGGTGCTCGCAGCAGCAGCTACCATGATGGCGGTGATGGGGATGACGATGACGATGGTGCTGGTGATGTGATGGGGGACGCGTCGCACTGGCGTGCCAAGTACGGTGGCGGCCGTCATGCATCAACGGCACGGGCAGGCGACCTCGGTAGCGGGTTGCTGCAGGACTTGGATGCCATGGGCGAGTCCACCTGGCCCAGCACAACACGAACGGTGCCAACAGCACCAACAGCACCACGCCAGCAGCTTCCAGATGCTCACGCGTTTCTGCAGAAGCTGATGCAATCACGGGATGTACACGAATCTTACCCCGCAGAATAGAGAGGTGGTGTGATGGTGCGTGTGAGAGAGTGTGTGTGAGAGTGTGAGAGAGGGGGGATCATAGGTCATGTGCCAGAGTGTGCCAGCGTCTTGTGGTTCTTCTCAGAGAGTGTGTGCATGTGTGTGTGTGTGTTTGTTTTCACGTGCGCAATTGGCATATGCTGGTTGCCAGTGTAATCATATTGTGTGTGTGTGTGTGCTCGCGTGTGTACGTGGTTGGTGTGAAGAGAGATTGGTCGTTACAACATCACATCGTGTGTGTGTGTGTGTGTGTGTGTGTGTGTGTGTGTGTGTGTGTGTGTGTGTGTGCTTCCTTTCCATCTTTGTCTTCTTCTTTCCCTTGATTCTCGTTTTACAATAGACGGTGTCTCACAGCACATCACCTCATTGTAAGTGCACAGGAACAGGGGAGAGGGGGTAGGGAGGAGTGTAACTTCTGGCTCGTTCGTGAACACGTAGTGGCAGAGGGAGTAGGGAGCGGTCGGCAGATACGCACCGAGAGATGGACGACGCCAGCAAACGCTTACACACACAGACACACACAGACACACAGACACAGACACACAGAGACACACGCAGACACACACAGACACAGACACACACACACAGACACACAGACACACAGACACACACACAGACAAACAGCACCTATTTCCGGTCTGGGAGGGCGTTGATGATGTCTGCGAGTGGGCGATAGTCCTCGATTCTGTTGTAAATGTGTGCAGAGATGCGAACATAGAGCTCTCCATTGATGGTCTTCACGGGAACTTCAATGCCGTTGGAATACAGCCAGTTCTGTACCCGCGGACCAGCACCCTCCTGTTGCTGCTGCTGCTGCTGCTGCTGCGAAGGTTTGTCTGTGCTTTGATCCCTTCCACCGTCAACAGCGCCATCACCCCTGCCACCCTCATGACCCTCATCACCACCGTCACCAGTGCCCGTGCTTCCATCTAGCACGTGACGCCGTGTTGCGGCAAGAGCAGCATGGCTGACGTCCTTGTGTGCCGGCAGCGCAACAAGCGCCATGCAGCCGTGCAGGGCCAGGTGACTGGCCGGGTCCTTGGAGGCAACAATGCCGCCTGTTCCCCAGGCGTCGCGGAGGAATGCCGCGGCATCGGCGAGAAGCCCGCGGCTGTATGCGCGCATGCGCCCAACGCCCTGCACGTCCCAGAAGTCGAGCGCCGTGCACAGCGACAGGGTTGGCGCGTAGTCCCGGCAGCCGTCCCACACAAAGTCGCTGGTGAACCCTTGTCCGTGGCCATGCGAGATGATCATGGGCTCAATGGCCGCCTTGTCCTCGTCCCGGCCGGCCCACAGCACGCCCACGCTCTTTGCACTGCACATCCACTTGTGGCAGTTGGCCGCATAGTAGTGCACGCCAGCGGCCTGCAGCTCGCTCATGTCCACGTGCGCCTGCACCAGGCCGTGCGCGCCGTCCACAAGCACGCGCGTGCCGGGGCTGTGCTGTGCAACAAGCTCGGCCAGCTCCGTCAGGGGCAGCTGCAGCGCGGTGTTGGAGGTGATGTGGTCGAACACGGCCAGCGTGGGCAGCTGGTCTGCTGCGCACTGCGACAGGTGGTTGCGCACGAGGTCGAGGATGTCTGCGGGCGAGCTGAGCGGCAGGGGTACACGCAAGGACACGTGTGTGGCGCCCGTGCGCTGCGCGACGTGGTCCACCATCTTCTTGACGGAGCCGTATGCGATGTCGAGGGTGAGGATGCTGTCGCGTGGGGTGAAGCGGCGAGCCATGGACTGCAGGACCGTGTTGAGGGCAGACGTGGCGTTGGGCACAAACACCATGTCTGTTGGCTGCGCCTGCATGAACGAGGCCATACGGTGGATGGTGCGCACAAGCTCAGGGAGGAGCTGCCTGTCGAAGAACCGCAGGGGCTGCTCCTCTTGCTTCTCTCGCCAGGCCTGGGCGTGCTTGAGCACGCAGCGCAGCGACGCACCAAACGCGCCGTGGTTGAGGAAGGCCCAGCGCTCAAAGTCAATCATGAACTGGTCCCGCATGCCGTCCGAGCCGGGCACGCACATGCACACGTCTGGCGGCACTGGTGCGCCCTTAGTCAGCTCTGCGGGCCATTCCGAGGGCGGCACACGCACCAGGTCCTCCACGCTTGGCGTGGCGAAGGACCCAAAGCCAGACCGCAGCCGTCGCCTGCTTGTCTCCTCCTCCTCCCTGGCGCTGTCAGAGCCAGTACTGCTTGTGTGAAAGGACGCCCTTCGTGTCTGTGGGCGTCTGTGGTGTTGATGCGTGCAAGCAGGCGCAGCACTAGCGACCGCACTCCTACAGCCTCTAACTGCACCACCACACCGAGCGACTCCCACCAGCCACTTCATCTTCGTTGCTTTGCTTCCTTCTTCTGCTTTGTTGCTTGCTGGAGCAAGCAGCAGTTTTGGCGGGAAGTCAACAACAGCAGCGGATACCAGTCAGTGGACACGCGTGCTCACCACGACGGCGATGATGGCGCAGAACAAGGAGGCGATGGTGGTGGTGGACGACGACGACGGTGACAGCGAGTGTGACGACGTGGCGCTGCCGCCATCAGGGGTTCTGTTGAAGAACCAAGAACATCAACAACATCAACAACAGCAGCGGCAGCAGGAGCAACAGGAGGCGTTGAGGCACAACGTGACGCTGCAGGATGTTCTCGATTGGGCGCTGTTCCGCAACCACCGCAACTTGGCAGAAGGTACGTGCATGAGAGAGAGAGAGAGTGTGTGTGTGTGCATGTGTGTATGTGTGTGCATGTGTGTGCTTATGAGTGTGTGCATGTGTGTGTGCATGTGTGTGTGCATGTGTGTGTGTTTATGAGTGTGGGGCTCGCCAACATGCGTCGAGAAGCGACAGATGCACGTGCGTGTTCACCAACACAACACAACACAACACAACACACACACACACACACACACACACACACACACACACACACACACACACACACACACACTA